GCATCAGCAGCAGCAGCAACAGCAACAGCAACATCAACAATGTATGTTCAATAGTAATGTGAACGCAGATAAAAGGCCTCAAAAGGCGGAAAACGACTTAAGCCTGAAAATCAAATACAAACGCAGTGAAAGTAAAAATAAAAAGACACAAAGTCTTTTCGAATTATTTTTTGAAATGGTTGGAGAGAAAGAGCAGCGTACCCGAGAAATGGGAACGTTAATATGTAAGTGTTACATAAAGAACAAAAACGAATTTTAGATACCCTATAGTGCAAACAGATTTCTTAGGTTAACAAAAATCTCTTCAATCAAATAAAGGATCAAGCGTTGGGCTTCAAATGTTCAATAATAATTTTGATTGCTTAACATTAAAAAGATACCTCACCCACTCGTGTATTTCGAATAGGGTCCATTCTTGCGCTAGAAGACGTCAATGTACCAAATCAAAACCTCTGAGAAAATCTGACCTTGAGAGGGTAGAAAACAAAAAGTACAGACGGACAGACGGGCTTAAATCGATTCCGAAAGTTTTTCAAAATCGGCCAATCTCAAATTCTTCCTGGTGTTGCATACATCCGCGGAAATTTAATATATCCCTGCACCGCAAATGGCGTACTGTCTTGTAGGAAAATTCATGATCGTGCCCTTATGGCTATTAGTATCAACTTCTATATGGTCCCCACACAGAGAGTAAAAGTCTTCGACATCTGTATGATGAGACTTTTTGTTTTAATGATAGTCATCAGCGAGCATATACCCATACGTGGGCTTATCACGCCCACTATCGACGTGGAATTGCGGAGTAAATGTCTACAAGGTTACCTTTCATAGTTCAAAACTTCTTGTCTCCTAACGTAGACGTCCACATCCACTACATCCACTATAGAAACCGATTTGGTGAATTCAGTCAATATCGTGAGCCAAGCTTCAAAGATCAGCTTTGTAAAGGCAATGATCTTGACGAAAAGATTTCTTTCTTAACGATATTATTTTTTATTTTATGATTACCGCGAGAGGATTAGAAAGTCGAACACAACCATTTGCTCTGTAAATAATGCGTGTAAGTGTTTGATCTGTTGGATGCACGTATTAAAATCAAGATAGTGTTTGTCTGTTGATCTGAGAAAAGAATTATAATACTTTGTTTGTTTCTTTTTGGAACAGCATAGGATTTTGGCAGGATAACTTTACCCTATCATCTAAAGCTTAAGGATATTACTTGCACCTGAACAAGTCATAGTTAGAGAAATGCTTGTGGAGAAAGCGGAGCATTCTCCTGCATAAACGAGCAATAATTCGCTCATACGCTTGGTAAAATTTTCCCTCTTGTTTTTTAGAGTAGAGGGCGAATTAACTTCTTTGAGGCGAATTTAGCTTTTTTATCTTCGTTGGCAGCTTTATCTGGGCGCTAAAAAGGACAGACCTTAGATTGACATCGGTTTTCTCCCAGACAATTTAATTAAACTTCATCAAATAGTGCAATCTATGCAGAGTGCAAGAGACGCAGGACAAGAGAATGACAGAATAAGAGAATGAGAGAATAAGAGAGAGATAAGAACACATGACACATTTACGCATTATTGTTTACATTCTTAATGATTATCGCCAAAATTGCGATTAAAGTTTGTTTGTTTGTGTTTCCCTTGTGTGCACAACATTCGTTAATATCCTTGAATATTAACGAGTCTAAAATGCCGTGAGCGTAAAAGATCATAGCTCAAACTATGTATACAGATTGAAATAAATGATTATTTGAATTGAAAATTCCGAAGAGCTCAATATTTTTTTTACAATTTCGTAATAAGAAATGCTCTGTTTATAGGACTGTTCATCAACAAAGGAATAATTTGCGTATAATATTTCCTACTATGCACAAGTTTATCAGTTACGTTTCATGAGTACCTCGCCCGATGTCTGCATATAGTCCAATCTCATATTTTTAAACTTCAACTTTAAACAAGTAATTTTTAATAAAATTAACTCTCTACCTATCTATACTTGTATATATAATCTTTCTTCTTGCTTTACCTTGAACATGACCCATAATGAATCTACACTCACTCGTATTTTCATAGGTCGCAAGAATCAATTTTTTACGTCGTCTTCGCGACCTAACAACGTGCTACGATAACAAAATAGATATTGAAAAGCTTAAGTGTGACTATTGCCCTAGAATTCCTAGATTTGATACAAAGTTACATAAACTATATGACAAAAGAAAAACAAAAAGAAGAATTTTTTTTTTTATAACCAGTAACAAGCCCCAGTGCCAGAATACGCCAGAATAGTTTCGATTTTTTTCAAAACGTCCATGTTTGAGTTAAAATTATCGTAATTGTGATCATCGCAACTCTTGCTGCATGTGTTTACCGTAAACTTGTTCGGATGATCATCGTTTTCTTCCTTAGACAGCTACTTTGGAGCAGTGATTTAAAGAGAGCGCTGGCCATTTTCGAAGGTTTGCGGTGCCCTTTAATACCATCTCCTCTGCTCTCCGCCACGCCGTGTCCCATGCCTACTTCTCTGGCTCTACACTGCTCTGTGAAGTTTTTATAAGCCTTTGCACAGCAGGCTGTACATCTCTTGTAAAGTCTCTTCTTCCGCTGTTTTCTGTTTTCTGTTATTTTTTTTGTGATACCTTTTATGCTTTTGCGTTGTTTAGAAGAAAATCTGGAAGACTAATAAGAGATTTTACTATCCTTGCAAATTAATTTTCTGTTTCTGGCAGTAATACAACTATTAGTCTCCATAGCTTCACCGTCCCGCATTAAACGATTTGACCAAATACTCTACTAGTTGAACTAGTTGAACTAGTTTCGCAATATGTTCACATAGTTCTCGGTGTTCAATTTCTGAAATTAAAACTGTTCAATCGGGATGATCGTCTTGTTTTAAAGGGAAGCATAAATAAAAGTTGATTCGTCTGCTGGAAACCTGGCCGAGCCTAATATCAGCCTACGGCTTTTCTAAGTAAACTATTTCTTATTTGATAATTCCAGACTAGTATTAATAGGTTCAATAATTTTTAGATAGCGAGACCTAAACCTAGTGATAGTAGTAGAGAGTATTTACCCATAAAGGCAACTGACACGATTTAGTTCATTCAATTGAATATCTAGATGCAAGCGCGATGCGATTAAAATTAACTCAAACCAAATGGAAACGTTTTAGTCAAGCAAGGCTGACTACAATGCCCTATATACCAAACGCTTCCTCTACACCGGAAACAATTTCTCATCTATTTCTGTGAAAACATATCAAAAATTATGCACACATGCATACTTGACCTTACCCACATCAACGGATAGATGCGTTCTCGTAGCTGGTAAATAACTTTGACAACTGCAAAGGGCTACGGTATTGTTCCGATATTAATAGCAAATGCTCGCATTTTTTATATGATTTTAGGTTTTAAGCAACAACACGATAGTTTAGAAAGCTGCCGTAACAAGTGACAACGACAGCACAACTTTGGGTATTTTTATATGTCATCATACCATACAATCCAAATATGTCTAAATTCATCTATTGGTGTTTATTTTATACTAATTAAAATCTTTTTTGATTTTCAAGTCGCATAACACTTTTTTTTGCTTGGTCCAAATACCAGTCGGAGAATAAGAATAAACGCAATGACGTAGAAGGAATATTGTAGAAAACCTTTAGGGCCTTATAGAAGTTGATCTTAAGAAATTTTAGAGTCCTTTGGCGTCCCATTCACAGTGACCTTTCTTTAATCTTTCAGAATGTACTCCAAAATGCGCCAACGATCTGTAGCGAATAAGAAGAAGCTAACCCTTTTATATCATTTATCCCTTCATTCGCGGGAGCGAATCTTTTCAAAAAACGATTTCTCCAAATCCTCAGCGATTTGCAACAATAATAAGTAGTAAGAGGTGCATGGTATAAGAATACTGATCTCTAGGGTTTTCTACGATTTTTTTTAACTTTCTTTAATGCATTTAATTAATCAACAGATAAATAAAAAAAAAAAACGTCTTTTTTTTTTTCAGTGTTAGGAACGATGTTTCTATTTTTCATCATTAGTTTAACCGGATTCTTTGTCATGTGGTTTACAGAATATTATAATAATATCTTTCTGTCAGTAAGTTTGCAGAAAAAAAGTCAAGAGCAAAAAAAAACATTTTCTAAAGGCATATAATTCCCGATTTTTTACAGAATCTTGTTTTATCTAGAAATTCGGAAACAGCACAAAAATGGATGAATCCGAATTCGAAATACGATACATTTCTCAAGGTTCATATATTCAATTACACCAACATTAAGGATTACTTAGAGGGTAAGGCTGAAAAAATTCAAATAAAAGACTTGGGTCCTCTGACTTATAAGGAACACACGACTAAAGTGAATGTCGTCTTTAACGATAATTATACGGTAACATTTCGGGTAAGTGCGTCAGCGATCCGTCATCATGACGATAGTATGAATTTTGTATGATTTCTGTCCATTTTGTGTTAAAGGATCATAGGAATTATGAATTCTTGCCGGATAAATCATCCTATGGGGAGCATGAAAAGATATTTGTGCCGAATGTTCCACTATTGGCAGCTGATTTTCTCATCGATCAGATGCGTGGTCTTAAAAAGATGACAGCTTCGATGGCGATAAAGACGATAGGTGGTAATGCCTTTAAGACGTTAACACCTTTGCAATATTTGTGGGGTTATCGCGATAAAATATCTTCATTAAATTTTGCCTCGGGAAAAAGTCACTTTGGTTTACTAATGAATGTAAGCATAATTAAATTAATATTTTCACTTTCCCCATACCCACTGCATTGCACATATATTCATTCATATGCAGCGCAACGGTACCAGTTTAGATTCTTTACAAATCAATACCGGCGAAGATGACTTAAGAAAATTTGGTGTTGTTACTCAATTCAATGGCATGCCATTGCTGGACTTTTGGAGTGAAGAACAATGCAATCGTATCGATGGCTCGGATCCGAGCATGTTTCCACCGCATCTAATCGAAAACCGATCAACTTTAAATGTGTTCCTGCAAGTGTTGTGCCGAAAAATTCCTTTAAAATTTGAAAAACAAGTTACCATATTCAATAATATTGAGGCTTTACGCTATCGTACCCCGATGAATATGTTTTCGCATCCTTCGGAAAATTCTGAAAACGAATGCTATTGCCGTAATACTCAGAAATGTTTGCCCAGCGGTATCATTAATGCGACCAAATGTTACGATAATATTCCCATTTATCCATCATCTCCACATTTCTTTGCGGCTGAACCCGATATCTATAAACATTTGGATGGCATTGAGCCGAGACAAGAGTTGCATCAGACTTTCGCAGACATACATCCAAGATTCGGTTTTCCTATTAACGGTGCCTCACGTATTCAAATCAACATTGCTGTGCATAAAGGTTCAATAGTCGAACGTAAGTAATTGCCTATTAAAAATTAGTTCTCGAATTGAACTCTTTTTTTTTTTTTCTTGGGGTATTTATTACAGAACAACTAAGACGCCTTCGACGTGATACCATTCTACCTCTTATATGGATTGAAATCACCACCGGCGATTTTACCGAAGACATTATCGATACTTTATACGCTAGCACTTATGGTCTTAATCTCATTCAATGCAGTCTAAAATATGGCACTTTACTAATGTGCTTGATTTTCTTTACAATTATCGTGGCTAGTTTTTATTGTCTGGCTAAGAAGCGTGAAATACAATTGGAGAAGGGCGAGAAAATCTTAAAGGCCGAATTAAAAGCTCTTAACCGAATACATTTGTCGTCTGCGAGTTTAGCACAAATGCAATCATGAGATATTGTATTAAAAAAAACTTACATTTATTCTTCAAATACTCTGGTGCGTCCAAATCCACTGTCAAGTACACGTTTACATATTTTCAACTTATTGTCGACATATTTTCGACAAAGTGAATAAAACAATTTTTTTTTTTATATAAGTTTTATAAAAAAAGAGCGAATATGTTTTTTTACTTATTGAAGAAAAAGCAAGTAACAACAAAATAGTGGGTCACGGCCCACCACCACTAAATGCTTTCAAGACAAAGGGTTATAATCCGATTCGAATCATTTGCAATAGCGTGCGTCCTTAAGTCAAGGCATGTCTTTTTGCCAAAGTTAGTGTGTTGGATTCCTTACAGTTTTAATATTGATGGTAGTTCTGTTAAGATAGATTCAGAATGTAAGAAAGTTGACAGACTTGTAAATAAATTGCGGTCCATGACGGTCCATTCTTACTATTGTGGGTGTTTGTTGTGTCACTATTTTTTAGATTAATAACGAATAAGTAACAATATTATATTCGGGCATGGCCGGCTATTAAATACCTTACGCAAAAATTATATATTGTTTCTAGATATAAGCATATTTTTCAAGTGCGTATTTATGGGAAAGAGCGAAGCGAAACGCAACCTAATGTAGTACAAGTTTAATCCTTACGTAGGGCAGCATCCAAAAATAGGCGCAGATTGTCCCAATTTTGTAGAGTTCATCTTTGTATGAACTTACTATTATTATGGGTCAATTTTTATAAAACTTAAACTTTCCTGGTTTAAAAAGAATCAATTTTCGTGAAAATCCTTATCAGGACAGGATCCAAAAGATAGGTTGAGATGGTCCCATTTTGGTACACTTACTTTTTTTTGTATTAAATTACTGTTATGAAATAATTTTCAATATGAAACATTGAAAATTACACTTTCTTGTAGTACGAGCTTCAGGTTTCCTTATATGAGAGGTGGTTTAAAAATTGTCCCAGGCGGTCCATAATTTTCACACCAACTTAGAATGCCGAAATACTACTACTTAGCGACTTTTGCCGAGAAATTTTTAAAATTAAATTTTTTTTCTATATAACGACTTTTCAGAATAGGGTGATATATGAGGAGTGGTTAAAAAAGCGAACCGATTAAAACTATTTTCGTTCTTGAGCCAAAATTACGACCTGTAGCTTTAACAAAAATTTCCATGGGCAGACATTAGACGGAAAGATGGACAAACGGACAGACAGGCTTAAATCTATTCAGATTAGAACTCTGAATTGATCGGTATAATAATATATGGATATTTTAAGCCATTCTGCTTGTTACATACGTCCGCACTGACTTAATATACTCGACACCACAATAGGAAATTGTCGGAAAAGTACCAAATTTCATCAAAATATCTCAAGAATTGCCACAAGTAGATTGAACACAAAAAGTAGGACGTACAGACAAGCTTAGATAAATACCTACAATAAAAGGTGAGTCTTATGCCACTACTACCAGTGATGTATGGCATAACAAAAGAAATTTTGCAAATTACATCATTTCTGTCTTTTTAATCTACTGGAAACGGGCTGGAAAGGATACTTTCCTTTTTACCGTGTGATGAGATTTAAGATTCTCTCTTAACGCTTAAGAAGTGAAGTAATTATGAGTCAGTATAAGACTTCTACGGTGGGTCGCATTTACAGCCTTTGCTCTTGGGAACGTCCTCTTAACTAAGAACATAAAGAAAATGATATTCGCTTAGCATGAAAACTCTTGTCAGCGCTTATCTACTTTTGCTGCTTCTTTCAAGACTATCAAATAGAACTTCTATAGAAGTTTTTATAAGAAGTTTGTACCATACATTATGCTAGACGTTATCGTAATAGACGTCAAAGGTGACAGTTTATTGGTAACAATATTAAGCAATCATTGCAGGGAAGTATTCCACGGATCAACGGATCGTAAAACCAGTTGTGACGATTCGAAGTCAACCGATCGCTGTGGGCTCATAACTGAGCCCACGAACATATCTTAAGCATAAAATAATTTACGTAATCCATCGGAAAAAAGTTATTTTTAAGATAATTTTAAACCAATAATTATAGGAGAATGTCAACAGATATTTTTCATAAGGTTAAGTTAATGATTGACAAAGATATGGATACCGGCACGGAGGATAAGTGGAGCATTTTTGTCCTTTTTTTAATTTTTTTCAATTTCGGAAACGAAACTGTTCAGATATCTCCACACTGCGTCAAGGGGTTAACGCAAGTCAACTGCTCGTGGGAAACGCTACCTTACGATAAGCTCTTGGGATATGTACGCGATTGTAGCCACACTTTGACTGTGGCTGCTTATTGCGTCCATATGCTCGCATTACGGTTTATAAAACTCGACCTGTCTTCGCGATTATGAAGAATCGTTCGAGGATTTAAATCTCAAGGCCGTAGTTATAGTGAGTGCTCAGTCGGTAAAGGCCTTTCACGGATTGGAAACGCCCTCACTTCTCTATTTCTTTCTCTTTGTTCACTTCTTGTCAACAGTCACCGTATTACACGAACTGGGGACGTTCTCTATCTATATGTCATTCTGCAAACTTGTTGAGTGAGTGAGCATTAATTTTTCAGTCCAGAAAAATCGTTAATTAGATTTTAATAAATTTTTAACTTTAATTTACGACCACTAAGGATTTTAAATGAACCTAGCTCGCAGCGTGTATTTTCCCGAGTCGTAAAGGTCGTGAAAGAATTGTTTCTGTTATTCATTCCGATAGAAAAGGAAGTAAAAACGTAATAGTAGATCACGGTCCGCTATAAAATGTCCTATACCAACCTATAGTCGCTCATATAATATAACGACTTTTCAAAACAAGGCGTTATTTGCTAAATTGCCGGAAAACTCGTTAAGGCAAACAGAAAATGATTCTGATTCGATCGGTGTAATAAACTCTATCTAAAATTCTTCCGTGTAGTGCATACCATTTTGTACCATAAGCGGTGTAGGGCATAAAAGTTGATGAACCTTTTTTTCAACAGTGCGTTTGTTGATTGTACCAGACAAGTTCGTATCTGGACTGGTTTTTTAGATAGTCTCAGGAAACAGTTTAGTTCATTAATCAATTAATTATAATAATTAGAAATGTTGCACAACAAAGTGTAGTAGCGTAATTAACTAATTAATTAATTAATGCCCCAATGAGGCTACAAAGTCTCGGCAGAGTAATGAACAAAAATAATGCATAGAATGAATAAGTCCTTTGGTGCACAACGTGGAATGGAAACGTAGATACAAACGTGATAATTACAAATTATGAAAGGCCTTGAGGCCGCTTTAAGTCCCCTGAAGCTAGCAATCGTTTTAATACGGAACGCTAATGCATTCCACAATCCAACAACGTTAACAAAACTCGCCTTGGTGTTATCAGATAGTTATGGTCATGTAGAATGAAATTCATCGTCCGCTTCGATCTAGCAAACAGAAATTTCTTATGCTTATGCAAAAAGACATGGAGCTTGTGCATTGACCATGAAAGGTATTGAGCTACGTTTGAAGATCGGAATCAAGAATCTTAAGCGTGAACTGGGATATTATTTTATATTATCGTTTATTAAAAACGGGTCTGACACACATATTGGTAACACCCTGCAACTTATTGCTAGAGACAGAATCTAAGTTACCACATATATACGCAACATAAGATGTAAGCGGCACGGCGAGACCGTTAATCAGTCTTAGCTTACTGATGATAGGAACATAAGATGAAGAAAGCAACAACTTTCTCAAAATGGTATTTATATGCACGACACTACACAGCATCCGAACGAGTGTTGAGCTTATAATCAAGATAAACGACCGTATTAACAAACTCAATCTCCTCACCGCAAAATCTTAATAGGAGGCAATGAATAAACCTAACACGATCTAGATCTTCCTTCATAGACTGGACCAAATCGTTTATCCTAACACGCGGGGACGACACATAGATCTGTGCATCACCACCATGTAAGTGAATGCAACAGGTATAACAATATGTAATCAAGTCGTTGATAAAGCCATTAAACAAGAAAGTCCCCAGAATGGATCTTTGCGGAAAACTAGATGCAACCATTTTTGATTTAGAAGACGAGTTACCATCAACCATCCGTTGGGGAGCGATTCATCAATAGGAAGAATAATAACTTGGTTGCAAACGAACTAAACCAAAAAAAAATAGTAAAAGTTTATACAGCAGTAAATCATGGTCGACCGTACCAAAGGCCTTGGAAAAATCAATCATTATAAGAATCGCTACACAGAGAAGAGAGAGGATGATTTGCACAGAGTAAATTCTTCGTCCACAGATGCAGCCTAGTGCTAATTGGGAAGAAATCTTCATGGGGAACTGGAGATGACACTTTCCAAGACATAGATCAAAGGCAGAATGATGTCTGGAAGAATTAGTTTCAGTGTATAGACTGTCTCACTTCCCGGCTTCTGAGACCGCTAGACTCAAACATGCCGCTATGCTCATACAGTGCATCTTGATTCACGACTGATGTCCGAGTCCATGAATCACAGCTTCTCAGAACTCAAAAAAATGTTCACTTAGTTTATCAGGACGAATTTCACATGGTATCGGACACATCCTAATGCCAATAGCCCGTAGATTCTTCTAAAGAAGTTTTGAAAAATGATTGGGATCGAACTTTTCACAATAATAGCCTCACTTCACACACCGTACGATATGGTTCTTATACTTCCCACTTAGGCTCATTGGAGCAGTCCTGCCTTTTCTTATATGCCCCATCACGGAATCTAAAAGCCGTTTTAAAAATTTTAAAACTTCTACGATATGGACGATACTGTAACGTTCTAAAAATTGTGTAAGCCTTAGTCAACTTTTCCTACCATAGAATACCGTTTTGGAGTACATAGTTTGGATTAAGTTTACAAAATTGATCGAGACATCGAGCCGAACTAATTCAAATTAACGCAGAATTTCAGTCTTATTAAATCAAGTATTTTTTTTAGGAAAATTTTGACTTAATGCGTAACTCGAAATAATGCAAATACGCCGGGCTTTTAATTTAAGTGGCGAGAATTATATGCCTATTGCACGTATTGTAGCTAAACAAATCTGTCAATTAACACACTTTACATCATTTTTTTTTTTTTTTGATTTTGTAGATTTTAAGAAAAGCTTAAAGGCCATTAAAAATATCTTGTTCATCGAATTCTCAAAGCTAGACACGCAAGCAAAAATACTGCGATTTGTCTCGACGTGCGTGTATATGTGCTTAGATGCACACATAGGGGTATGTTTTGAAGTAAACCGTTAATTATTTCGTACAACACATCATTAATTGTTTACGAGATACATTTAATAATAATTGTGTATGTATATATGACAATTTTATGGGCCCTTTGACGACGTCGTCGATAAGAAGAGGAAGTAAGCGGCAGTGATTTTGCTATTAAAAAATAAATAATAAAAATAAATAATAAAATAAATAAAACATGAGCAATTTTTAAATTATTACATCAGTTCTTTATACAGGAATTCAGTGCTTATCACCGACCATACAGAGAGACGTGCTCCGCATATTTACTTACTAACGTTTTTTAAATACTAAGTTGTTCGCTTATATTTAAGTTAATTGCTTGCACTTTGAAAACATCTCGTATCATGTTATCGAAAATAGTGAAGTAAATCAGAACATGTCATCGGCAGATTCATTGTATAATTAAGTTACGGGAAGAACCACTCGCCTATTAGCAGGGACGTATTTGAGCGAAATATCTATAATTGAACGGGAAGATGTTTACCATAAATACATCATCGTTGCGCAGACAGATAGATGGATAGGCAATCAAATCAAGAATATGGGGTTTTGAAGCTTGTTTCTGCACGCTGCAAAGGCATTGAAAGAAAACTTAAGTTTTGGGTAAGTGTTTTCAATTTTTTACCATTTTTGTGCAGGCCCAACAGCAACGTCTATGGAATATACGTTCAAATTTTTATAGTTCATGGGGAATGACCAATAAAACGCTTGTTTATTCCTTCTTAAAGCCAGAAAAGTTCTCACTTTACCGTAGGCGTGTCCCTTGATCGGTCTGATCCATTTTCAGTGCCAACCCGCGTACAAGAACTTTCAATGGTTCTTCCGAATTTGAAGTCGATAGCTTCATTTTGGCGGCCAGGAGAATGTTGCAGACAGACGGCCACACGGACAGATGCACATGCTTAAATCAATTTAGAATTTGATGCTGATTAAGAATATATATATATATATATATATATATATATATATATACTTTGCGGGGTCTCTGATGCTTCCTTCTGGACGTTGCAAACGTTTTGACAAAATTAATAGACCGCTCATCCTTCATTGATAGGTATAATAATAAGCCGTAAGCAAATAATAATAACTAAGTAAATAGAAGAATGCATAACAAGTCAGTAACATCCGCCGGGAAAAAAGCGCCGTCGATAATAAAAGCCAAGTCAAATAACAAAACGTATTCTAAAATGAGTTTCGAAAAGGATCTCTTCTTGAGCCGTGAGTGACTTCGCCGGACTTCAGAGTCTTCCCATAATATTATTTATAATTGCAATTTCCGCCAATACTCATATCACTTATAATACTCACTTCGTTGTCGAACTTTCTTTCACTTTGATTTTTCCCTAAAGTTTGTTCCTCTCATCATTTACACCAATCATCAATGCAGGGGGCAACCAGTTTCGTCATATGTGTAATGTTTTCAGTTATCGTTCTTCGTTTGTGAGGAAAATGCATTTAATATTATCTTCGGCACGAACAATTCACATTAATTGCGTAGGTTCACTAAGATTAGATCGTCAAGGATGAAATTTGTAGCAAAAAGGCAAAGTTTGCTGATAACTTATAAATATAAGAAATTATTTTGTTCATCAGAGTATGCGCCCATAGTATCTACGCACATTTGCCGGTTGTTCAGGCCGGTGATGTAGAACCCTGGCGGACGGGAGTCTATGAATTCCTGGAGGACCAGTTTTACTGCATTATCCGAATTGAAATTGTTTCTTACCAAGAAGTTGTCTAAATTGCGAAATAAGTGACAGTTAGTGGCAGCTAGATCTGGTGAGTGTGGAGGGGGAGGATAAGGAAGTACCAACTTCAATTTCTGCAGCTTTACCACTGTCATTTGCGCAATGTGTCGTGCGGCATTGCCTTGCAACAAGAAAGGAGTCGATCTCTTGACATATCTGTGCTGTTTTTTTTTCAAGTTTAACAAGTTTCAAGTCGATGAGCCTGGTTTCATGAAATAGTAATAGTAGAACCACCTCTCCGCTAAACCACCGAACTATCAGCTTCTTCTCATGAATATTACGCTTTGGAGTATGGTTTGGTAATTCATTCTTGCCTTACCACTGCGCTGATTGCGTTTGTCGTTCAGTCCATGGGAAACTTACTTAACTCACTTTTTCACGTTAAACTAATTTTGTTTGTCAATTGTTGACGTTTCCCAAACTTGCCGAATCTAAGCTGAGATGATCCAATGCCGTCACTGTTCGCTTGGTCCTAACTTACTACTATCCACTTATTTTACTTGCATTAATTGTTCATAGCTTAAATTTAACTTACGTCCAGCACCTCCTAGTCGAACAGAGAGTATGTGAACTCAACATGAGAGACGATTTTGAGTTTCTCCATGTTCACTTTTAATATTTTAATAACACATTCTTTATGCCGTAATTGAAAATATTTGTATTGCGTTAAATACTAACGATGAGGCGACTCGCCCTCTTAAGGAAAACTTGCAAAATGCTAAATGTTGGGATTTCTTGCTCTATGAGCTTTAATCGGGCTTGGGGTTTATTATTTATTATTAGCTATGGTTAGCTTAACTCAAAAGGCCCAGTAACGGCACAGTTGTATCGTTTTTTATTTTGTTTTTTTTTTCATATCTTAGACCAATTGTGGTACAAGAAAATATTAAGTTTATAGGGGTGTATGCAACAACCAGAAGAGAGAGAGAGAGAGGCCCATCTTTTATTATATCTATCATAATAATTTTCTGAATCCATTTAAGCTTGTCTGTCCGTTTGTACATCTTGTTCGCTTGGGTTTGCAATTTTTCCGATATTTTCATAACATATTGAAATGGTTTCCCTTGGACCACTTTCCCCATTACTTTCACTAAAAGGCCCTATTGTGAAAAGTCAGTATATAATTAAAGGGCTGTAATGAGATAGACCCACATTTTATTTAGCCTATCGATTTAAGCTTATTTGTCCATCTGTCCGCCTTGTTTTCTTGTGAGGGTGCAAAAATCGCAAAAGATATTTTGACAAAATTTGGTACACATCGTGTTTTGGAGCAAGCCATTGAAAATTTGGTGGATCGGAGTACTTTTTCGATCACTTCCAATACAAGGCCTTATTTTGAAAAGCGCTTATATAAATAAATGTTTTAAGCAAAGTGCTGTAGGGTATTAAACGGCGCGCCATGCCCCATTATAGTGTTTTCACTTGTTTTTTGTGATATTTTTGTTTATACATCTCGTCGCCGTCTAAGGGGGAATAAAAAAAAGAGTTCAATGGCTTCGAGTTAGATAATTTTGGTCATCAATTCCACAGAGATTTCCACATTTTCCACATTTCTTTTAAGTAATAACTGTATTATATCGCAATTGCTATGCGACAAGTTATGTTTATCATTTCTCATCACCTAATTAGTCAAAATGAAATGTCAAGCGATTAATATAATAAAAGAAACATAAAATAGTTTGTCTAGTTTCCAATTTCAAGGACAATTATCGTCAACGGCTAACTAACTGGTTGATGTTACAGTAAAACTGGTAGTTTTTTTTTTTTTTTCTTTTTCTTTTAAACTGGTGGGCACTCATATTCATTGATTGATTATTAAGAAGAAAAAAAAACAAAAAACAAAACAAAACAACAAAAAAAAATTCAAGTTAAACCAGCAAAACAAGGTCGCTTTGTTCATTTACATTAATATATTTGCAAAAAACCCTTTTGTGGCCAAAAAAAAAAAAAAAAAAAAAAAAAAATGAAAAATAAAAAATAAAAAAATTTTATCATTGATTTGTAATTCAATTCAATAGTCAGTGATTTATTTATCATTCCATCTGCATTAATTACATATCATTTTTGTTTTTTTTTTGTTTTTTTATTTGTTTGTGTTTTTAAACTAAATTTTGAACTATCTACTAATTCAATTCATACACATACAAAAATATATGTATTATATACATATATATATATACAAAAAAATTTTAATTACTAAAGAAAATCAATTACAACATAACTACTATTAAACACAACACAACAAGAAATGAATTCGATCTTCTTCGTGATCCCCTTTTTTTTCGCATAGTGAGTGAGTATTAGCATCTGAAGGTGCGAAGGATACGCGTCGAAGGAATTTTAGTTTTTAAGGTCACGGGCCTTATATTTGCTGTAGTAGATACCGTCAGGATCATATTTAGCTTGCAATACCTTCCATTCTTCGGGCTTATGATCCATTAAATGTTTAATGACTTTTTCACTTGTCTTTTTCTGTTTCTCGCTGCATTTGCTGCACTCAGTTTGCAAGGCATCCGGTAAGCTTTTCTTCAATTCACGAGCATCGGGTGTACACTTACCCTCATCGATTAAGCAATTGTAATAATTTTTGAATAATCGTTCCGATTTTAAGACCTCATCAACATCGACATCATCATATTTCGTTGTGTATTTCTCTTCGGCGCCCATAACCACCGCTACGCTTAGAGTGGCAATAATCGCAACAATTGTTAGATATTTCATACTGACGGCAGCTGCAAATTTGAAAAGAAATTAAAAGCGATTACGAAATATTTACTTCACACATTATCATTATTTAATAGAACGCGTCAAGTAGTGTTAAGTGTTTTTTTTCTCCTTTTTATCTTTTTGGCCCAAAAAAAACGAAACGAAAGGAAACGAAACTTGCAATATTTGCAATATTAAAGTACATACATACATACGCAGTACAAGAAATGAAAAAATGAAGACAGAAAGAGAAGAAGAAAAGAAAAACAAAAAACCGTAAAATGCGTTATGTGACATTCGTGTTCGGATTATTATCGTATCGCGCTGTGCCACTTTGACTTATACCACGTTACAAGTCCGCTTGGAAATGATAGCCAAAATACACTTACACTACTTTGTTGTAATAATAATACTTGAACAAAACAGTTTTTTGTTGTCTTCTTTTTTTATTTATTTTTTTTTTTTTTGTGTTCAATTTAAAGCTTCAGGTAGACGACTAACTGCAGATTTGTTCAATCCAACGCTTTTTATATATTTTTGAGCGGTTCACAGCCAAAAGCGAAGCTTTGCGAGATACTTCGCACAATCAGTTCGCTTTGATTTGTACCGGTAGTACGTACATAAAAAAGAAAAAAAAAAACAAAACAAAAAAAAAAAAAGCCAACAGTAGCTATAGTGTTTACGTACTACTACACACACCAGCAGTTGTACACACATTTTTGCTTTTTCATGAATAAATGGGTTTTAATACAATGCACGCATACTCAAAACGTATGTTTAACTTACCCTTATAGCCACTTTTTTTTTTCTTTTTGTAGCTTACACGCAGAGCCAGACAAACACACACAAACACACAGAAAGGCTTTTCGTGTCTAATAATTCGCTTGGGAAACCCCTAAAACCATTATATATATATATATATATATATATATGTACATGTACATGTATATATATATATACATGTACATATATATGCATTCTTGATCAGTGTAGTAAACGGGAATTATTTGAACCACCTTAAGCCTATTGAGCAGTTTACGAAAGGCTTTTTAAAGAAAGGTCATAAAAACCTGTTCATATATCTTTCTATTTTGCAATAAGGCCTGACGAAGAGATTCCGATAGAGTAATCACAAAAGGGGATCTCTTGAAAAGGATCTTCTTTTCTTGATAGTCGTGTTATCAAGAAAGATTGTGTACTGAAAATCGTATCAGCTTTACATTGCGTCGATACTGTCCGTCGGTGGTTAGAAAATCTACGGCAGTGGTTTACCGAGAGGCATTTTGATACAAGAGACGTCGGATGGCCGTCGGCACCGTCGATTCTTCGCGAATATTCTTCTGCCCCATCTGTCGCTATTCTCAAATTCGCGGCAGAGACTTATGTGTAAGATAGCAATGAGGCCGGTCACTGAACCCAAAAAAAATCGCTTGGGTCAGAAGATACCTATGTTATATTGCACCAACTGTCTGGATGCATGATCTAGAGAAGTAAGGGGTATCGTGTGACAACATTCCGACCGACATCACAGAATTAAAGCTCCGCAGGCAAATATTAGATCATCAGACTTAACGGTAGAAGAAAAAGAAAAACCGATAATCTTGGTTATTAGTGTCCATCGTACTTTTTTAGTCATGGAATTCGCTTCTTTGATCAAAATAAATTATCAAAATATCGTAGACACACCCTTCATTCAAAAGTGGAATTAACAATTTCCGTTAGTCTATCTGGTTAAATGCTGATTACGATTTGAAAGTTTTATTTCGAATCTTACCCGAAACTTAAATCTTTCCGCCCTAATCAGGTTAAGTTATTTCCAAATTCCAGTTAGTCTTGAGAGAAGTTTGCACCGATCCGTAGATCCATTAAACGATTTTTTGCTCCAATCTGCCTGAGTGTCTGCGTAATGCAACAACGATTACGATTTCAAAGTTATATTACGTTGCGTTAAGATCACATAAGAAGGCCGCATCATCTTTCCTTTTGCAGTCTTACGCGTAAGTTTGAGGAAACTTTGTGCAGAGCTGTTAAAAGGACTTTTAACCTGTCCTTTGAAAGCCATATCGCCTAATATTTTGCTTTTCTTGCTCCTAGGTTCGGAAGCAATTTTTCTACATCTACGGATTATCTCTTACTTATTTCGTTGTAAGCCATCATCTAAAAATTTCGCTAAAGTTGAAAAACATGATTGGCAACACTGGCATCAGATTAAATTAAAAGCGAAGTAATCCATCCACAGATCAAAATTTATTATACATTTGAACCGAGCTAACTTTGTGCGTATCCCTTCACTCCACCAACAAATTATATGCAGCTTGAGAAAGTCTGAATTCACTTAGTCGAGTGTCTGTGCTTGTCTGCCGTTTAAAATCAAAATGTCAATCACAAGACCTTGGTCTCAAATATTTCCTATGTCTTCAAGGTCAAATGGATGGATGGATGGATGGCCTTGGATGGATGTCCTTGGATGGATGGCCTTGGATGGTTTGATTAACGGATAAAACTGTCACAATTGCGGGTTCAAAGGATCTGCGAAGGATTGTTGAAAAACGAACCGATTTCTAGCGTGCCACTGTTTGGTATATGTTTTAGATTGGAGATGTAATCACACGATTCGGAGTACTGGCCGTCGACATTTTGTGTCGAAATTGCAAGACACATACGTGGACGACATATAATGCCACACTCCTCATAATCCGAGAAAATTCAAGTCGAAATTACTTGTTGCGTAAATTTCGTTTCTAACTTGCAAATGCAAATGACATAAGGAGTTGTATGCTGATGTATATATTGGCTGTGCCTTAGAATAATCAATAACTAGCTACAGCCAAATCTATTCCTACCATTGGATGTATTTCTTGCAAATAGCGCTTCGTACAGTTTCTCAATACTGTATAGGCGAACAGATGACAGCGTTGGCTAGTGAAACATGTCGTTAATAACAATTTAGTGATAATATGTGTTATAGTATTAGTGGTTCAAATTACGAAAAGTCGGCATTATGTCGTCAGAAAAATCTTTAGGTGGATTCAATCGCTATCGTATATGTATTGTAAATATGTCTCCAAAGTTCAATTCTTATTAGAATCGACGGAACAGTGACATTAATAGTAAAACGAAGAGTTTATGTTTATTTGAAAATTCACTTGGCTCTTAGACCAACCATTGGGCCCTTTGTTACTGCGTGATCCTCTTTATAGTCTTGTTTTTGAAGTAATTTCTTTATAAATTTTGAAAGTAATGATTACCGAATATGGTTGGGCAGCCTTTATATATCTCTTGGAGATTTAGAAGCTTTTTTCAAGACCTAAAAACCTTGGGATTTGTATAAAAACTTGGCTTAAGTTCACTTAAGGCCTCAAAGGTTTCCTTGGATTGGATTTCCTTGATGATCTTGGGATGAAATTATTTCAGTAATGGATCAACCATTTTTCTCTCTTTCCTTCTCTATCACTCTCTCTCTCTCTCTCTCTTCAATTGAATGAGAAAATAAAGTAAATCACATATTGGATTCGCCAAGCGAACAGAAACAGGGAACGACAGACTGAGACGGTTAGATCGATAGAGAGATAGAGATAGAGAGAGAGAGAGAGAGAGAGGGAGAGAGAACGAGAGAAAGATTTCTTTCCTATCAACCTACTATGAAAATAGCTTTATCCCAATATTCATACTTAAATTATTTCATCTGAATGCCTACATAGGTTAACCTTTGCTAACGAGCCGAAATCTCTACAGCAGATGTAGCTGCAAGACTCCATTAATCTTGTAGATCTTGTAGAATAAATATGTAAAATACCTATGGAACCGTCATGGTAGGTTATGGAAATGAAAGATTCGTTTCAACTCGACTACTTTTTTGTTGCCCTACATAGCTCTTAAGATTTATTGTTATTGAAATTGAACTTGAAATTTGTTAATAAAATTTTGCAAAAACTTTATGAATCATTAATTTTTTTTTCTTTGCTTTTCTTTGTTTTTTAACGCTTGATCTAATTCATATAACACAATACAGAGTTATATAGACAGTATTTGTGGCGAGTGTGTAAAGGGCTGTCGTAGCCTTGCTTCTCTAACTGCTGCAGCATGTAAATAATAAGCGCATATATCTTACATATTTTATTTTTATTTTTATTATTATTATTATTTTTTTTAATACATTTTAACCTTGGAGTCGTTGTTTTTTTTTTCTCCTTTTTTATTTTGCTCTTATTTTATTTGTTTTGTTTATGGAAATTTTTAGTTGCAATAATATTTAAAAAAAAAAAAAAATTGTTTTATTAATTTTTTTTTTCTTTTTAACATTTTCTACTAGTGGATGTGTGACGTATTTGTTAAAAGTTTTTTACAAATCGCAGACATAACACATACGTGTTTTTACTCACGATTATATGTTATGTTTACGTAGGTGAATACATGCAATTTATATATTATTGAATGAGAAATTTTCCAGCATGACTATATTTGATAGAACGAACGAACTGCTTCTAAGAAAAGGTATTAAATAATTTTTTTCATGAAAAAAAAAAAAATTCCTTTTCACGTTAAATTAAGTCAAGCAGACAGGATTCCGTAGCCGTCTAATCGTTGCAGTTCCTCTTACAAAATGTATTCACGGGTTGGTTAACGTGCTGGGGGGTTGTATTAACGCTTAATTCAACATTTTTTCAACTCAGATAATAACAAATTTTGTAAACTAGACTTAAATAAAGGGCGAAAGAAACGAAAAGGGTTTATACCCTACATCACTGATGATACAGGGTATATTAAGTTTGTGGAGATGTATGCAAGACTCAGGACGACTTGAGATGGATCCATTTTTCATTACACCGATCGATTGAGAAAATGATGAGACCTCTTCGCCCGCCTAATGTCTGTCCATGTAATGTGGTTTTTCAACACATAGGCCGCAATTTTGGAATATTTTTATAAAATTGCTTATACGAACGCTATTGAAAATTGTTCGGATCGGTCTACTGTTTCGTCCACTCTCCATATAACAACTTTTCAAAATAAGTAAACAAATTGCAATTTTTTAAATTTCTCGACAAAAGCCGCTGCATTGTAGTATTTCGACATATAAAATTCGGTCCGATTCCGACGAAAACTGAATGGTATAGAAGGTCTAATTTTCAATAAGAATTCTCAGGAAATATAAAATAAAATAATGTTTTATGATGGATTTGATATAACAGATGCGTCTTTCTTAACTCCTTCCGGGTGTTGCATACATTCGCACAAACTTAATATATCATAAGTGGGTTCCAACCCACTGAGTTCGCTTGCCCTAGAATACTATGCATTTCACATCTTTACAAACGCCGAATACTACAAAAAGTCTTGCAGGAATATGTTATACGATCTTTTCTTTCTTATTCTATTTAAGGTTACCTCATAGTCTTTACACATTAAGAAGAGTCCTAATAGCACCCGATCATGAAAGACTTGAGAATAATATCTTTACGTCTCATCGTCATCTCCTTCTAGTTCAGCACACTTTTCCTCGTCATTGTTATTCTATTTTAAGGAGATTCATTGAGCTTCTTAAAGTAGCCATTAGCCTCCGAGCCCATCCCATCATTGTTGACAAATGTTTGCCATATTATATTCAAGAGAGTGCACTTGGAGTTTTGGAAGCCAATTTGATTCCACATTTTAAATTTAAAAAGGCGAATCTATATGCTTTGCTCTCTAGGCTAAAATTTTATTAATATTAAAATACAACCCTGGGGGCTAGTGTTAAAAACAGAGAGGTTAGATTTTAAAGTAGGAAGCACTTCATATGAAATATCATTGATTGGTAACGTCAATCCTCTAAGTCTGATAGGCAACGCCTGGTTCGCCTGCAGACGACTTATGGCCTAAAGGAGCTTTAAGAGAGAATGAAGGATTAGATATTAAGGTGGGGAAACATCTGACGCTGATCGTCGGCACGTACAGACGTCTCACGGTAGTCTTTCTTCTTTTCCCCTGACTTGCCACAAGAAAAAGACCATTAAACGGCATTATCGCCGTAAACTGATTCCAGGACATACCATCGACGTTCAATTGTCAACGTGTAAAGCTTTCCATTTCTATATTTATTTAGTCATTCTATTCCGGTATCGGGCACATTACATTGAAGAAATGTTGAAGAAAGGAAGGAGGGATCCCAGCAAGACTATATGCGCATGTCGATATAAAAAGTACAATTGATACGATTGGTTAAAGGCCCTGATATAAGGATAGTCTCAGGGATAGACTATTCCGTCCGTGTAGTGTACCCCCCAGCTTTATATAGAACGAACTAAACACAACATTTAATGCTAACTGCACTATTCTTAAAATTGTATCCGAGCCTACCGGACGTATACGCAATATGCGAAGAGAACTAGAAGATGAGCATTTAGGCATAAAAGCGCATTGGAAAACTGCAACAGAGCGGTTATGCAGATATGTTTGGCGCCATCAATAGTGAAGTTATCGGCACCTAAATAGATAGACTTATTGCCTTTTGTTATTGAAGCCGAAATTTATATCTCTTCACTCTTTGCTTTTAATCTCAACATCAAATAATATCCTCATACGATCAATAATAAATGCTAAGCCTTCAAAAGCAATGCGTGTTAATTACTCTTCGTTAAGTTACTGTAATTATACAACAATTATAAATAAAAAGGAAATCAACCATGTGTACTATCATCGTTGATGAAAATTATAACAAAGTTTTTTTAAAAATTTCATAAATTAATTTTCACGCAAATATTATAATAAATATTAAAACGATTTTAATAAAAAAATAAATTCATTGAATACATTTTCTCTCACATAAAAATAAAATGTTTTAATGATTTGTATTCATAACCTTCATGTCATTTCATTAATTATGTGCATAAATATTGCAAATAGAAATGATAATAAATAGAAAAAGAAAAAAAAAAAGAGTTCTTTAGTAATTCATTCATTTAGCATAGCACAGAGAAAATTATTCCATCGAATATTTCGCATCGATTTTATATGCAACGGTTCGCTTTTATTCTTTCATTCATCAACAATAACAAAGCAATGCTTTTTTAATAAATTAAAATAAAATTAAAATAAAATAAAAAACAATAAAAACCTATCACTATTTGCAATATTTTATTAAAACTGTTAACGGGACCTGGATCAACGCATTAGTATAAAATACAAAGTATGATCAAAAAGTGACAGGAATATGGTAACTATCAAGAACAAGTCTAATCTCTCTCAGCACCAGATGTTGTTCGTTCCGTTTGTCAACTCTCCCAATCGTCGACTTATTACACATCTGAGTAATCCTTCCATTCTTACATTGATATCTACAAATGATTGCATACGTGATTAGCCTCAAAAGAAGCCATTTATCGTTTCAACACGAAATTCATCTGCTATTGATTTGCATTAAAAAATTAATAATTGTTTCAAAAATACGTTCAGTTTTAGTAAAAAATCTTTCAGAAAGTAATACCATACCCAGCAGCAGCGAACCTAACCATTTTTTTAACAATAGCAGAAAATTGTGATAGCAATTGCTATCTTCTTCTTACTTCCGCTGACTCTTACAGTGTTGCTTACGTATTCAGTGCAATATTGCAGGCGGATTTGACTATTTTGGTATACGCCGTACAAGATATCGCACCTTTCCATTTTTCTGTGCTCTGATGACACTGGTACTTAGATAGCGTCCGAAGGTCGGGTGCTATTGGCGATTAGGTTTGTGCCTCCACGATTCTTACGGCTTGAATAAGATTAGAGAGTAGAAGATAGGTTATGAAAGCTTTAGGGCAATCTATAGAGATTAGAGCATATAGGGATAGTGGTTTGCTTAGGGTTAGTTGGAAATACACTAGACTGAATAGAGAATACGGTGTGTAGACTATAGGGTAAAGGAAGCAAAGACATTCTCCATTTGCAACAAAATCACAACCAATCACTGGGAACGTTTCCTAGTATGTGCAGAAAAAATAGATAAACGAGCAGTAAAAAGTATTTTAAAAGAGAGAGATAAAGCAATGCTTGATCAGCAACACTCCAATCGATTTTCAAACAAACTCACGAACAACAAAATAATCAGCAACAGCGAAGGTAAATAAATAAAAATTCCTTCCCTCAAAATTTAGTCCGAACTTAAATAAAGGGTGCGAAAAGAAATCAAAGTGCCCTGCAAAGGCATTTGATTTGTCACATAGTGATCCAAATGATTAGTTTGCAAGTAAGTAAGAATCGCGACTACCAAGTCAATGTCCCTAGATTCAAATCTTAAGCGTGGTAGAGTTTACTTCGGCTGTGACTATAGTGAGCGCTCAGTCATTAAAGTCATAACACTTACCGATTGAGCAGACACTCACTAGGCGGCGAACACCATGTCCCTTTCTTCTTCTCTTTTCCTTTCCTCACTTCTTTCTGACCGTGTCTCGGTTACACGAATAGAAGATATTCTCCGAGCGATTAAATATACAAATAAGAAAGTTATATTCGGCAAGGGCCGAATTTCGCATCGCCACCTTTATGCTCTTTGCATTCCACTCGCCAAGCTTTTTTATTCGGCACTCGCTGGTACTATCAAAAAAAAAATTAATGGCGGCGTCTACGACATTCATTTTAAAATTAACCCATTTTTAGGCAGATAGTATATCTTCATTTGAAGAGTGTACAAAATAGTTTTAAACATTCCGTCTCGTTTGTCTTGTGATCAATAAGCATAGAAATATCAAAAAAGTGAAAAAAATAAAATTTAATTATTTGTATCTTTGTCCAGGCATGGCCGAATAATAACATTTTTGGGCCTGAAGAGTAGCGTGTTTCGTAACATAAATGTGGAAAATTTGCACCCTTCTAACTTTAATAATTTCCGAGTAACGGGCAAAAATCCAAAAGTTATTGTTAAAAAAAACTGAGCTCCGGAGCGATTTGGCCCACTTTTAATCGCAACGCGCGTCCAGAAACTTTCAATGTTTCCACTAAATTTGAAGTCGATGTCTTCATTTTTGCGACTTGGAGAGTGCCAACAACAACACACACTACACAAACACACAGACGGACAGACAAGGCTAAATCAACTCAGAATTTCACGCTGATCCGGAATATATATACTTTGTAGGATCTCTGAAGCTACCTTTTGGATGCTACATACATTAGGGAAAAAAACAAAATGAGTATACCTCCGTCTTACAGTGGTGGGTACAAAAAAAAAAAAATAATGATCCAAAGAAGCGATAACAGAGTACACAAAAACAAAGAATATTTAGTCAACATTTTTAATAAATTGTCACAAAATTTTCACGTTTTTGTCGCCAATAAGGCCATTGGACAGTTGAGGCGTCATATGAAAGGCACTCAAGGTTTGCATAGGTCGCACGATGTGTTAATACAATAATAATAATAGTTAGTAATCAGTCTTAAGTATCGAAAGCCTAGGCGTGAAGATTCAAAGAAGATAGTTTTTCTTTTCAAGGTTAAGAAGAGTAAGGGTCAGTGTATCGGTATGATCGATTCTTAATAAAACAATTTTGTCTTTTGCTTTGTAAATTAATAGTTAACAGCCGGATGTATATTTTATTTAAAATACTTGAAAGGATATACAATTTTATAGCATACACTCAACAAAAATGTTTAGTAAATAACTATTTGCACATGTTACACTTTGGGGAGTATTAGCATTCGACGCGTTAAAGCATTAAATTAATTTAAACCTTAATGCCACGTTTCTCAGCTTCGGCTCTGTATTTTTTAAGATATTCACCGGATGGATCGTATTTCGCTTGCAATGCCTTCCATTGTTCAGGCTTTTTCTCGGTGAGGAAGCGTATAACTTTATCGACAGTCGCTTTTTGCTTATCATTGCATTTGGTGCACGCCGTTTCCAAGGCATCGGGCAATGTCTTCTTTAGTTCACGACCTTCGGGTGTGCATTTACCCTCGTCAACTAAGCATTTGAAATAATTATCGAATAAACGATCCGATGCGAGAATTTCATCGACATCAACATTATCGAATTTAGTCGTGTACTGCTCTTCGGCTATAACCGCGATGGTCATAAGGACGACAGCGACAGCGATTGTTAGAAATTTCATTTTAATCAAATACTTGTAAAACTTGTGTAACTACAATAGGAATTCAATTGATCACAGATCAGATCACAGAGGCAACTAACTACGAATTAATAAACTCAAGGGGTTTTTATATAGTTTTCCTTCGAGCCTAATAGTAAACAAAACAACTAAACGGTTAAACGTATACGGTTAATACGACCTTTTGTTTTTTTTTTACGTATATATATATATATATATATATATGTAAATATATATTATATATATCAATACGATATGTGTTAGATGTAATTCTAAATTGATTTTAATTGTAATTATGTGTGTGTGTGTGATAATGTGTGCATTGATTGCAATCAAACTGCATACGTCATAGCAAGTATAGGATGCAATAATTTTTCCATTAACACATGTGCTTTACAAACTACTGTCTTTCTATCTGTCTATGTATGGATGTATGAGCATGGATATCAGATTTACATACTTGTTGACGATTTGTTCACGTTTATTAAAAATTAATTTACTAGAATTAATTAATCTAATTAAAAGCGATATTTCGATATGCACACAAATTTATAATTACATCACTGAATTTATACTCGCAATGATTAATCAAGCACATCCATCCTATCAGTTCACAACTTGACTTGAACTTGAAGAAAAGGTTAGGAATTTTCTCAATAAATTAAAAATACAGTTTTGTAGCTAATCATTTATTTGAGTCTGCTTGTTTCATCCATTCTACCAATAGAGTATTTTTGGAAATCGAAACAGGAAAGCCTGTGATCGAGGGTTTAAACTTAAGTTCCAAATAAATTTGAATCAATGCTAATATGTAACTGCGCATTCGAAAAATATCTATTCTTATATGCACTGGCGGATCCCAGGACCCGGAAAGGACAGGACTTATTCAAATAGGCAATGGTGGATTTCGATAAGATCCATGACGCCAGCCAACGGTGCATTTGAATCTGTTTTTATCGTGGGGATAATCGATTATGATCTCTAATGGTGGATTATAATAGGACCAATTCCAATAGAATATGATGCGTTCTAAGCGAATCTATTATGACGGACAAGGGTGCATTCTAAAAGGGCCCGTTTCGATATATGGCGGCGGATTCCAATAGCGCGTGATGTATATCACGCTCGACTCTAATGGGGCATATTGTCATATGGTAGATTCCAACAGCGGTGACTCTAATAGCAGAAAGTGCCTTCTAAAAATGTCTATTTTAATAAGTAGTGGCCTATCGAGAGCCTGTTCTCGGAGCGCTGGATTCAAATGCAGTCTGTTGTGATAGATAACCGTGCATTCTAGGATGTATTCTTAAGGTCTTCTTCGCGCATTCTAAAAGGATCTATTGTCATGTGCTGTGCAGGATCCTAGTATGATGTATTTTGGAAACTAAAGTTGGACTCTAGTAAAACGTTTTAGTCGGGTTAATTCAAACATCCAAACATGGATTTCAATAATACTCGCTTTCAGTAAGATTTGCTTCAAATTAAAATTAAAGATTCTCTTATTTAAATTATAAACAAGCGCATGCACGTAAGTATTCCAGCAATAGCATTAACAAACCCATGCAAATATCTGCTCAATACGTTCTGCTATCACATATTGTCCTGAAGCTATTTTTATTAGGGGAATATTTCTGCATTAAGATCTTAGCACAAGGGGCGCGTAGGACACCACCATCTCATCATTCTGGCTGTCACTTCAATCAGCAGGCAAACTGGCATAGAGAGTACGAACGGTCAGTTCGAACAACTTAACTGCCATGTGAAGCAAAGCCGGCTTATGGTTGGATGGTCGAATTGGTTGCCATAAAAAGTGAAGGCGGTCCGTATCGTTTTTATTCTATGGTAACTGACTGTCCGTTCGAGCATGGTTTTCTACTTAACGGCGATATTACAAAATAGATCCGTTGTAGGTAACTCTATAAGATCAATTTATCCTTCTTAGAATGACGGGAAAAGTTATTGACTATCAGTGAATAATGTTGTGAAGAAAATGATGTGCATGTGTGGACATAACGTGTGCGTGATTAATTGTATTTAAAATGTTTTCAAAACTTAATTAAGTGTTAATGTGGCTCAATAGTTTTAATTCGCTTATCGCAACCGCGACAAGCCAGCGGAAGAAATCTACTACTTCAGAGTCCGCAATTACTGGTAAACAGGGTCTGCAATTAAAAAAGCACGAGTGTGTGTGACCTTTTCCCGACTCGAAGGTGCGTCTTCGGCGTAACATCCGTCGTATAGACACTTTGAATAACGTCTGCCGGACGTGATGTCAATATAATATTCAACTTAATTAACACATTTAGACTAATCATCTGTCCGGCACCAGTTATGGTTCTGGGGTAAATTAAGTTTGCGCGGATGTACGCAACACCCACAAGCGCTTGAACTAGACTCACGTTCTATTATCGCGGTCCAGAAAGAGATTCAGAGCTTGTATATCCCTCTGCCCGTCTGTCCGTCCGTCCGTCTTGTTTTCTTTCACTCAACCAGCAGGATGATAACTGAAAACCTGAAAAATGGCGAACGCTATTGAAAATGATTCGGGTGAGACCAAATTCTCGAGTACCACCCAACGTGTTATTTTGAAAAGTCATTACATAAAGAACGTGGGACATAGCTCACTATAGTGTGTTTCCTTGTTTTAAAGGTAGACATGAGTGAGTTAATTGCTAAGACTCATCTTACTTTTAGTCCAAAAAATCATTTCTTCAGGATAATAAATAAATAACAGTAATAATGGTAACAACAATATGTATTTTTTTGATCAAAGCAATACATAGCTGAACCGAACTGAAACCGAGAGAATTTATTAAAAGAATTAAATTCATTCACTTAATGTGATTACTAGTCATGTCCTTCCTCCTCATAACAAAGCAATAACTAATGATGATAATTATAATTTCAATTGTTAAACAGACACCTTAAAGAAAAAAATTGAATTTGTAAACGCAGTAATTTTTTATAAATTAATGTTGGTTCTGAGAAACATTTCATCTTAACTATGATTTTTATTTCATTTATTTACACTGTAATTTAAGTGGGTTAACCTCAGTGTGAGCTCTTTCTTAGCACACTTTGGACTTTAAATATTAAATAAAAAAAAATAAAAATAAAAAAATTGAAAAACAACTAACTGACTACATGTGTTAAGAGTTACCGGTCTAAGCGATTTCTTACTAAAGTCTTACGTTCAAAATATTGAAATCATATTGATATTGTTGTTGCATTTGTAACATTTCAAAATCAGTATCAAATGCTTCGTAATCACCCTAAGAAATGAGAAATTTGTTTATTGAAAGCCTTTTTTGACTGCTTTTTGAACATTATCGGATCAAGTAGAAAGCGCTATCCGACGATTCGCAATATGTAATTTACTCAAAGCTCTTTGCCTTTCGATAATCAGATATTTTAGAATGGTAGAAAAGATAAGAAAAATGGATCCAAGTAGTCCAACTGCAACTGCTTTTGAACACTATCGAGTCAAGGTGAAAAGTACGTTAAAAATATCCGTCAACTTGTTAGCTACACTTAAGGAAGTTCATGGAAAACCGAATCCTTAGCGTGGCTGACGATACGGAAAAATGTAAACAATTTTCATACGTTCAGCGTAATTGGTGATTACACCCAATAAATCTTAAAGCAATTATCGTCTTTTTTGCAGGGGACTTACAAAGGCAAAGAATGAGTAGATACCCGCATTTTAGCCCAGAAAATACCCGACCTGAACAACTTTGGCAGAAAATAACTTTGTTTCAAAAAACTCATGCTCGGTTACTTTTAAATTTTCACTCGCAACGCTTAACAATCTAATTCGATGAAGTAGCCCATAGGATTCTTATTCGATGAAATTGACCACTTGTTTACCATATTGACTTGCTTCTGCTGAAGATTCCGAAGCAAATAAAACTGAATTTAAAAAGTTGTTATCCACGAACGTGTGATATTTTTCGCAAAGCTTCAGAATCTCATCGATGTAGCAGGGGAAAGTGGATGCATCAAAGCTTTCCAGCTAAGCCCTCTCAATTTTTTGCCGCGTCATCGTAGTTATTAATAAAGCCAAGCAAAATTCGTCCTTGAGTGTAAATAATAGTGATCCAGGTGTCCATTTAACTGCCTTAGCTATCCATTGTTGTCCGGTGTCTGCTCTTTAACAGTTTCTCCATCTTGCTATTGGAATTCCATAAAATCACAAAATTTGAAAGAGAAAGGTGAAGCCTTGTCTATACATTTGTATATATTTAGCTTACCAAACCAATGTAATACGCACTCCACAAATAGCACTAGGAGAAAAGCAAAAAGAGCAAAGAAAAAAATTTTTTTTTTTTGCAGGTTAGCATAAGTAGTTGTCGGAACATGAAAATTTCGTTTGAAAAAAAATTCCATTTACCTTATTAGGTATGACTTTAAACTCTTCAGGTGATCACCTCTTAGGTGATGGTTATCCAAAATTCGCTGCAAAGTGCATACAAATTTTTTTTTTACTTTTTTTCTAACATTATTTACCTAAGTTTGCAGCAATAATTTGTTAAAAGCAAACACATAAACATATCCACACGTAATGAAATGGAAAAAAAAAAATTAAAATAAAAATAAAATCAATACTTGGCAATAAAAAATATCTAATTTTCGCAAATAGACAAAGTAGCAGTCGCAGAGCGAAAGAGAGAATAAGTTAGAGAGAGAGAGAGAGAGAGAGAGAAGCTAGTAAAGCTAAATTTTTATTTATTATCGTATATAACAATTTGAACTTCCGAAAGCTTACAAGATATTATATATCTTTAAAAAGAGTACGTGAAAAACAAATGACATCAATGGTAAAAAAACATGAAAACGAAAACAAAAATAAAAACAGCTTTTGTCCGCCTAATGACCCCAATGGGCGGCCAAGCATTTACGATTTATTTGCCGGTTTAGTAATTTTTGTTTTGACACTGAAAACTTGATAAACGCAAGCATGTGTGATGTGTATGAGTACGTGTTAAGTTTGAGTGTGGATATGACTATATACATATATGTATTTGTGTTTGTCTGTCTATATAGATATTTACTAACGGCCGATCCCCTTAAATAATAATTTCTAAATAATCAATTACACAAACACCTGATATGATTCATTATCAGTAGCAAACATACTTCAACTCACACACACACACACATGCACACATTATCAACTGATTTTGATTAAGTTAATTTTTTAATCTAATTGCGGTTTTGAAAATGACGATTAACAAGTGTTTTGCTTTTTTTATTAATTATTATCGAAAAATTAAAAATAAATAAGTAAATAACAGTTGATAGGGGATTTTTAAGCAAAACCACCCAACAAACATTTTTGTTAAAGCTCTCGTTAAACCGCGAAAAAGCTAATCATTCATTAACGAAGGTTTTCCAATAATTTGAATAACATTTCATAACTTTCGCTAAATGTTAATGAAGATAGCCATCGACCTGAAAAAAAAAAGAAAAAAATTTCAAAGTAAATATTTTACATCATCTATTATACTCATAATAGATAATTTGAATGAGTTATAAGAAAGAAAATTCATTTGCATGTATTATGTAGGATAAGATATCAATATCATCATATCGTCTTCGTACTTGATAAATACGAATTTGGATCCCATGGCAGAGCGATACTATTCTTTTCATTTTTTCCAAGAATTTCGTAAAACAAAGTCCACAGCATCCCAAGTATTTTCACATCCACTCCCACTCTTCATTTCATTCTTTGCAGTGGCTCTAAGACAGATAAAGTTGAAAAAATTTCGTTTAATTCCCAAATCCCTGATCATAGAGTAGAACTTAATGAGTTTAAAAAAATAGAAATTAGAAAAAAAATGATATTCGACTATAATGGACTTTTCACGCCCACAACCTTGACCTCAAAAAGATCTAAAAAAAATCGAAAAAAATTGAATTTTCCTACTTTATAATATTGGATGGGCGTGGCGAACTTTTTTCCATTTTTGCAGAATATGGAAAATACATTGGAAAGCAATGGGAAAAAAACCAACAGGAAAGGTGGTTGCAGATTAGACTTGAATACTTCTCTGAAAAGTTCCTATAATATTGGGTTGTTCGAAAAGTAAAAAAAAAAAGAAGGTAGATTGCTCGGATAGCATTTCGATCTGTTGCTTTCGATTATTCCCAATCTTACACTAGATACCAAACATAATGGTTAAAAAATCGAATTATTAAAAATGATAAGACAGAACGACGCCGTTTTTTAAAAAAGGAGAAAACGTATATGCTGAGTCGCCAGCGAAAATAATTGGAGCTAAACAAAGTTGCGTCCGAACAACTGTGGACAGATGAAATAAACAGTCTCCAGACGAAAGGTAAACGAAATGAATGTTAGACTATTCCTCTTGTATTCCTCGACGAATGTATCGACGGTACATTTAAAAAGGTTATAACTTCGGTTGCGTTATTCTGGAAAAAAAATGGAATCGTTTATGTTACTGTCCATACAGTGCATCTCTGCCAGTTATGTAAATATGAAACCGGAATTTGCCCATAGATGGCCGCAAGACCACCTGCAAAGTACACAGACATCTGGGGTTGGGTTTTTTTTTAAAGATTAGCCTTCTAACGAAAATAGCCACTCGGAAGACAAATATACTTCTTTTAACCAGGAAAATATTGACCGCATTCGTTGGCGGCAATTTTTCTCTGCCACTACGATAGAAAAGAAAGTCTTGTTTTCATTATATCATAACTGGCGATGAAAAGTGGCAGGCGGAACATATGCATTGACCGCTAGGCTAAATCGCTTAGCAAGGAAGACAATATTCTAGGTCTGGTGGGCCAAAAGTGGATGACCTAATATCAGTTCGTAAACTACGGTCTGTTGTTAAGCGCAAACTCCGGGGAACGGAACTGACAACAATTAATCGGTTTGAACCGTTCGCTGTTCAAAAAATAAACGAAATACTAAAAGAAACGGCAAAAAGATCGCTTCCATCCATCCATCTATGCATTTGTAGGCAAAATCGTACTGCAATACTTTCGAAACATTCAATTGGGGAGTGCCATCTCATGCGGCTTATTGATAAAACTAAAGGAACAACAACTGAAGATGACTGGCTCATCCCGAAGCAGTGCGAAACAATACCACGTTGAGAGCGGTTTATTGTCCTCATTATACTGTTTGTGTTACCACTAGCGTTATTATTGTTCCTACGTGACTACCGTTACTTTGTAAAGAAGCACTCCAAGGGTATTCTTAGAATTTTTAAGAAGCACTCCAACAGTCTCTCAGAATTTGTAAAAAGCGAACCCAAAGTATGTCAGAATATTTATTATGTACCGCCTGTACCGCCATTGCTACTAATTTTTCCATCCCTGGACATTATTCTATTGTTGTGCTTTTCTTTGTTACTGCAAGCAGACGCAAAAAATAATCTCACTCGATGCGTATTACAAAAAAGATATAAGAGCTTATTGAGTGAGAAAAGAAAAAAGTTTATGCAAACAGAAGAAGTCTTTACTCACCCAGTGCTTGTAAAGTGAGTTGAAGACGATAAGATTTCCTTAAAACGTAAACGGCCGTGGCATTGAAAGAGTTTTTATGCTATTGTTGGATGCCAATGCCAGTGTCAATGCTTTACAATGGTTTCTTACTCTTACCATACATAGTGGGGATCAGTTGGATCAGTTCTTTTGCAACATTTCTAGCGTTTGGTTATATTGAAAAGAAATATGCGCTTAATTTTGCTTTGATAGCTAAATAAAGAGAAGAGAAAACAAAAAGAACCGTGATTGCTATAAAAATAAAAAAAAAAGAAATAAATAAATAAATAAACAAAGTGAAATTTTTCTTATATATATATACACACACACATATACAGCATTCAAAAAAAGAAAAAAAAAAAACGAATAAATAAATAAATAAATAAGTAAATAATTTATTGCTACTTAAGAGCTTCTGTACGTTTGTGTACGTTCGTGTGGGTTTGTTTATTACCGCAATTGAATATGGAAAATCGTTTAATATTGGTACGTTTGCATTTTTTTTCATCACTCCCCCCCCCTCCCTCCCCCCCTTCCCCCTTTCCATGGATCGTGAAAATCTGGAAAATTCTATGAATGCTATCAAGCGTCAAGTTTGCTGCTTAAGTCGTTTGTTTGTCTCATGACAAATTTATAGATTTTTATTTCTTTTGCTTGAAAAATATGTGTTAGTAAAACTAGAAACACAACATCGCGATGAAATAATTCTTGCACTTGTTCTGGTTCGTCTGCTTTTTTCTAAATTGTAATTTTTTCTCTCCTTTTTTTTTTTTTCTTTTTTTTTTCTTCTTTTACATAAACTATGTAACAAACGGTTATTTGTAGTTTACAGCTATGCATGAAACGTAAATTGAATGGTGTTTGTGGAGATATGGTTGCATACGTTTGAAGGCTACAATGATTTATGAGTTTTTTTTCTTTTTATTACAGCACAAAGCGTACACACACACATATAGGCCCCTAACTAATATACACAGAGCGAGAAGCGCCACATAATCGCTGTAGAAAATTCAATGCACTCTTGACTTAATTACGATTCATTTGGATTTAATCTAGCATAGCTTAGCTTCCCAGCTTCTTTACTTACAGCCTTACGCCTATCATTCGCTTTCATTTTATGATTAAGTTTGAAAAACAGTTTTTAAGGGCTAAGGTACAAAGAGAATCCGTTTTCTACTAGTTCTGCTACAAGTCAAAGGTCGTCACAAAGCAATATCCGCCTTTATTCATACAGTTAACTGCTTTCGTAGAGTTACGGAAAACAATGAGAAACAATGAAAAGTCACTTAAGTTATTTATTTTATTTTATTATTTTTTTTTTTGATATGAATACAGAAGAAAGTTTATTTAATTAACTTTAAAGACCCTGAAGACAACCTTTAAAAGTTGATTAATGACGAAAGAAGAAAAAACTTAGATGCGGTGGTAAAGGGTTTTCAAGTATTCAGTTATGTTTTTCAAGCATTTTTTCTTTTTATTTTTTTTTGTTAAACTTAGACTTAAGAAAAAGGTCTTTCTAGATTTTCTCTTCGCAAGAAAACCGCTAACTGACTATTAGTTAAGATCGTTAAATGGTTCAATGACGTCTTGCTACATACGTTCATATAGCTGAGAATTATCTCTGCACATATGTACGTGTATCTACACATGTTTATATATACATTCACGTCATATCTATTCTCTTTTACCAACATATTGACATAGTTTGCTTGAGTTTAGCGTATTGGAAAGAATTCAACCCACATTTTACCAGCACCCGAAACGAAATTCGTTTATTAACCTAAATTTGTTTTTTGTAAACATTTAGAATACAAGGCGAGCGTATATTGTCGTACAGTTACGAGGTTAATACGATCAGTAACTGATTTTTTCTTTTTTTTTTTAATATGACTTATCCGGAGTGTTCCTCCTTAGGCGAAATACGGTCATGGTCAAGAAACGGAGAGAAAATTGAAATGGAAAAAGGGATGACTGCAATCTAGAGGGTAGTGTATCCATCCGATAAGTATCATGTCTTTACCTACTGAGCAATTCCTATATAGCTACAATCAAGTCTGGTCTACCACACCGAGAGTTAAAACCGCTAACAATGTCTCGATAGTCAAGACTCACTATCAGCTCAGCTATGTGGCACTATCAGCTCAGCTATGTGGCAGACTGAGTTTAAAATATAACATGAAGTCGTTAAACAGCTCTTTGACGACTTTCCCAGCATGAACAGATTTAGCGAGTGTCACCATAGCATTACATTAAAGGGAAAGAAGGGAAGCAAGCTTCTGGAGATATTCCACAACCTCTTGATTGTTTTTTGTTTTGTTTTAAACAACACTTTTCGATCTCATAAACAACGCATTGGAAGGAAAATGTTGAAATGTTTATAAACTGGCAAGGCCGACTTTTAACTACCCTGCATCAGGCCACTTTATATTAGTCTTTACCTCACTTTATCATAAAAAGCGAAAAAACAGTACACAAGATCATCCAGCCTTTGGTTCTGGAAGCAAATATAAATTTTTTATCAATACATTATACCTTGCTATCATTTTTGGAATCCAATACATACACAGTTATACAGCGTACACGAAAACAATCAATCCACGTTTATCTTTCTTTCCTGTGTAATGGAGGCCATAAATGAATAAGGTTTAGTACCGCTTTGGTGTAAAGAAAACACCTGATCCAACTGGTGATCGGGCCGTGGTTTGTTTGCGAACTTATAACGGCATTTCACTTACCGTCAATGCAGAACACTACAGAAATGTTATTACTGACTTTTTTTGGCACGAGTTAGATGATTTGGCCTGGGATCATAAATGGTTTAACAAAAAAGTGCAGCATGCCATACATTTTATGACAAAACATATTTATTAAGAAAAAAGTACGGTGATCGTGTAACTCCATTACCCACCCAACTCCATTAGACTTGTACTTGGGGGTTACGTTGGAGGATCGGATTACTCCAATAAACCACGGGCTCTTGAAATCTTGGCGATTGAGGTCATCAGGAGTATATATACATTGTTACTATAGGCCTAGTTTTCATAAGAATTATTAAAGAGTTCCGAAAAAGAGATTTGGTTGGCCCAACTTTAGCATAGTGAATTTACAGCCCAAGTAACTGCTTTCGACTAATTATCATACCATCATAAAATACTAAAAATTAGATCATCCATTTTTTATAAGAAAGAGTTTTTATATGGAGTAGGGTTTAAAAAATAGTTCCACCTTATCCAAACTTCTCATATTCACTTACTGTGCCAAGCTATTATTTTGTATCAATTTTTATGGAAAGACATTAAATGCGTGCATTTCTTCAAAGCAAAGAAGTCTATGAAAAATGACCTCAGAAATGATCCAAACCAATCCGTTTCCAGTTTTGTTCGTCCTTGGGCTAAAATTCACTAAAATGTGCTGAGGACTGCGATCTATGCGTTGAACGCGGAAGGAGATCTCATCTCTCAAGGGCGATACCTTTACTTCGATTCAGGAAAGGAATCGAAATTACTTGGCACAGTCAACGTTGACACCGTCTTAAGTTCTTCTTGGTGCTGCATATATCCGCACAAATCTAATGCACGTCCACCCTCATCGATGTAGCTTGTGAAAGGAAGGATTTGAAGAAAAATGTTACGATATATTATTCAAACCAAAAGGCGACGTTTATACAGTACTAGGGTAGTTCATAATCCATATCACTTGGAGGCGTAAAAAATATATATATATATAAATAGTATAATAAATATAGGAGAAAATAATTTAAAAAAAGTAAAAGGTGAACTTGGAGGTGAGCTATTGAACTGCTTCGAATTCTATAACTTGGGCAACTTTGGAAATAATCGTCTCGGATTAATTGTGCTAATGAAAGATTTTTTAAAATCTTGTTTGTTGAAACGCAGTTTATATCGAAAAGATCGCCTATAACTGCGGAAATGAAATCATAAGATGCGATGAGATCTTTGTGCTAAATATATTAAATCAAAATCTCAACTATTTGGACAACTTTCACTTGATCGATCTTGACCTAGATACATTGGAAAGTTTAGCGATGAAATTTTTTCAAAATTAATTTGACCGGAACATACTTAGTTCAAGATCTAGCTGCAAGTATTAAAACGAGTACCTTAGGTATAAGGATTTTGAAAAACTGAAACGGGGAACTTGTAGCTGAAATTGTAAACTATATTGACAAGTGTGCCTTAAACTTTGAATTTTGATTTGTTTTGATGATGAAAGTCTGGCGAAAATAATTTGATGGAAAGTAGTTTAGTGGTAGTATAATGACGTAGTTGCCATAACGAATATATTCGATAAATTTGAAATGTTCCAATGATTTAGGACTAACTCTGTGAGACAATTAGATAAGAAAGACGTGAAAAATAATTGCAAATCATCTCAGAACGAGGAACACATAACCCAGCAACTGATCGTAACCGTACGGAAAAGTTATTTTAAGAAAATTTTCGAAAAAAAACTTTACTAGCTTATTTTATTCAACCTGTGTGTTTATACCTTTGGATGTAAAAACAATTAGTATGCATATCGTTAAGCGAGTTGTACGAATTAGTCATACAATCGTTTAAAGTAAAAGAGTAAAAGAAAGAGAGACGTACAACGAAGGAGAAAAAACGTTTTGACCAAATAACCTTAATTTTTATTATTTTTAGATAATTTACGAAAAAAGAAGATTGTTAAAATTTTAAGTATTTTTTGAAGAATTTTATACCCACCAACTGAGTGTGGAAGGTATGCTCTCTCTATCGAAACGTTTGCAACATCTACAAGAAAATTTCAGAGATGCCAGATAGCTCATACATATATATTCTTGGGCAACACCCAATTGTGAAATGATTTAAACATGTCCGTCCGTCTGTCCATTGGTCGTAAAAATTAAAATATCAACTTCAAAATTGACAGAAACACGGGAAGCGCTGATTGCTAGGTTGACATTATGGTTAAATGGGTCGAATTAGTCAATGCACACACTCAAGGTGTAACGTAAACATCTCTTTTTCCAAAAACGAAAGCAAATGAATTTTATGCTCATGCACGCTACTCGTAAACGGCAACAGTTACAGTTTTGTTTACACACAAATATATATAAATCGCTGAACTTGTTACACTTCAACTAAGAGGTTATAAAACGTCCATCATTTCACATGTAATTGCTCGCAATAAACTTACAGAATATGTACTCAGGAGATATGCGAATTTCTTTCGAAATCTTGCGACAAATTTTACCACACATCGTGCTAAACAAAGTTTACCATAATCAGTGGCATTAGTAAGTGACCTTACAAGTCATTCGTATATGACTTCACTTTGCTGACTAATTGCAAGAAATGAGTAGAAAAGTTTAACTTAAGTGCAGGGTGTTGTGACATTTCAACCTAAATCGAACCGATCCAACGACATGCTTTATGTTGCTTTATCTAAAAAATATTTATATTTGAAATAACTAAGAGAAGTGAAAGTTTTAATCTCAGTAGAAAGAAAACCATTCATTTTCTTCTTTAGTTCATTGATTTTCTATGGAATTTGTAACGCTTAAGAAAGATGATCTAAAAGATGCAAACAAGATTTTATTGAAAGTGAATGTTCCTCAATGTAAATTAAATTTAACTTAACGGAAAGTTTTTTTAATTCTTTTTTCTTTTTCTTCTTCTTTTTCTGTTTTGTTATGTTTTTTGTAGAAAATTCTTTGTTTCACATTATTAGCCGGCGTGTCTGCTTCACAGACTACACAAATTGATTATGGTGAGGAGCCACCCGAAGGTTATTACGCTTTCGTCGAATCACCCAATGCTATACCGCCTAAGGTAAGACCGCCGCCATATACGCATGTGACTAGCAATTGCAAGAATGTCGCGAATGGCAAGAAGTCCTCGGTTTCCGTTAATAATATTTGCGGTGATCTTAATAAAGGTCAAATACCCAAGAATCCAATGCGTCAAAATGTTTTGGGCGAACCATATCCATTGTTAGTAGTAAATGAAAAAACGTTTGTTTTCCCTAAAACTTAATATTGAAAAATTTCTATTCTCTCTTCAGTGAACTTATACGCAATCAGACATTGAAATTCTTTTCAAAAACGTTACCAGTTTTGAAAGCAGACGACACATTGCCCAAGGTTACGCAAATCATACGCGACGATCCGGTTGAGACACTGGACTACAACAATATCGATCGTCATTACACGGCTCGGGCCAAACGCCAAGTTTCGGAAGACGAAGTGAAAGGAGAAATGGAGCATCATGATTACGGCTATTTTGATCCGGCTTTAGATGAAGAATTGAAATTAAAGCAACACCAAGAACAACGTAAGCCACGTAAATTCTGCGATGGTGGCGGAGTGTAAGTTCAATTTTGTATTTTCGATTTCGTTTCTGTTCAATTTTTCCATTGACTTTGTACGGACCTTAGGTTCTGCACTATTTATCGAGCTTTACAGGGTGATAGCTCACCCTCGCCCACAGCTTCGGCAATGACGGCTGAAAGGCGGGAAGAAATCGGTCCCATACGCTATGAAGGACCGCCTACACCATGCCCGGCGAAAGTGGAATACGCTACACCTGTATTTGCTAAAAACTATCAAGGATCGTGGCGTTACGTAGTACAGATACCCTACGAAGGTTACTTCACGCAAACCGTTGAGGTGACACGTTGCATACAGGCACGTTGCCATTATTTAGATGGTGGTTGTTTGTCATCGCCCCGTTGGGTTAGCCTACTCGTGGCAGAAATATTCTATCCGAATGCGGAAGATGCAGCATCGTTAACTTCCACCACCACTCAAACACCTTCAGTACAAGACTTCCAAGCTTATCAGCAATACTTGCAAAAACGGGCCGGTGTCGCCACTGCTTCAGATAATACCAATGTCAGCGATAATGGCGCTAATATTGATCAACACTGTGACGGACACGATGAGTTAGGCTGCTTTCAAGTGCGTTTATACTACGATTGGTTTCTGATTCCGGGTTCTTGTAAATGTTGGCGGCCCGATTACTTCGCCAAATACGTGCGACGAAAGTCGGTGGCTGATTTGTAAAAATTAAAAATTTTCGCATTTCGAAACCGCAAACGGCCGACAAGCTTGCTTTCAAAACCACAATAATAATCATATTTGCGTAGAAATTAAGTTCATCATCATCTCTATCCATTTTACAATTATGTATGAAATTTTCATTCTAAGAATCCTTTAATTTTCAATTTATTTCAACGCATAAATCTTTTAGGATTTTTGAGAGTTTAAATTTCGTTTTCAAACACCATAATGATTAAAAACGCTTAACAAAAACACTCGCACGTTATTCTCTACATCGATGTCAACGAGAATCAATTTTAACTCATCGACAATATTTCCATAGTATGTATTAAGCTAATTTTACTTTACTTTACTCGAAGTGGTATAAAAGTTATCAAGTCTTTCAAGAAAGCCGTTGTTTCGCGAGTCGTTTGATAGATGAGTTCATTCCGTGGAAAACGAGCGCAATTCATATCCATAGCAATATTAACATGTTCAAAACTGTCACTGCATCGTTCGGAATGGGGGCGATTTTCGAAAGCCTATTGGGCCTATTGGTACCACCTGCCAAATGTCGCTTGTTATCTGTGAAAAAATTGTTCGAGTGAACCATTGTGTTGTCAATGGTTCAGATGCGGCGCCTTTACTCATTTACGTACCAAAATAGATGTAGATATTAAATAAAAACACTGCAGCGAACTAAGCTCCACTATTGGATACTCTGCCCCGCACTATAGTTATTCATAAAACGACTTTCCAAACCGTTCTATGGCAAGTGGTGAAAAATGTAATCCGATTCAAACAATTATCAATAGTGTTGAGCCTTGGGCCAAAAAACGTCAGTGTACTAAATTCCGTTTAAATAAACCAAAAATTTGCGGACTGTAGATTGAACTTAAGAAAGAGTGAACAAATGGACAAGAATCCGTTTCTGAATCGATTGGTATAATAAAAAGTGGGTTTACCCTAAGTCCTTCTGGGTGTTGCTTACATCCGCACAAACTTAATACATCACAAATAGTGTAGTGTATAAAATGTTTACCAATTCAAGCCGGAAAAGATGTCCAACACTTAGGACCTGTAGGTTGAAAAAACAAAAAAACAATAAATCGGACAGACATACAGACACCGTTAAATGGGTTTAGAAAATAATACTGAATCAATCGGTACAATAAAATATGGCTCTATCACAAGTACTCCTAGGTGTTAAATTCATCTGCACATACTCAAGATAACCATTTATCACAAATGGTGTTGGGTATAATGAGCCTCATCACTCAGTATAATTTTATTCATGCATTTCCAGTACGCAATAAGCGAATGTATAGCAGGTGCGTCTGGCAGAGAACATTTTCTACTTTTTACTTTTCAAATATAATCGTGATAACAGTTGTATGTTGACAGCACTGCTTGTTAAAAGAGCCTACTCCTATAAGACGACCCAACTGAGCATTAAGTAAATCTGTATTTTTTACTGCCGCGAATCGACAAAGGATGTTTAATAACATGATTTTGCTGATTCTTGCCGTTAATAGGACTTTCTTATAATTAATTTATCGATTTCTATTGATCGCATAACACAGTTATCTCACAGTTATTGGTTACCGTCGACAGTAGGTTTATATTAATCAGATATTTGCAAAGTTTTTTTTTGTCGACAAAAGGGTTTTCGGCTAAACGAAAGACAAAGTCGAATTTGCCGACTTTCATCGACGATTAGCATTTTTCAAGTCGACTTTATACCGATTCGCGTCGACTATAGGTATTTATTTCATTGAATCTAAATTTTATTGTCTATTCCATTACCTTACACATATATGTGAAACAATGGACTCGATGCAGTTAATGTAAGACGCAATCTCAATTTAATTATGGGATAACAGAAACTAACTAAATTTATATTACTCTTTAGTATGTAGAACTCAAGAGAATAACTTTATATAAATAAAAATAAAAATTATACTCAATTTTGATCAATTTACTTGTATAATACCGGGTGATTCTCTTTCGCCAAAAATACACGTAACCAGTGAAAACATTATAATCGGGCAAGATCGAGTTTTAAACGCCTTCGAATGGGTAACTTCTTGCCATATGAAAGGCTATTCTTCATGAGGACTATTCTATGAGCGAAAACCCAAATTAAAAAAATTACATCGAAGTGGTCCGTTCGAAACGGTCAGTTCGTCCACTTTCATGGTAAAATATCAAATATTCTGCCTTCTGAAGATGGACACATTTCAAGACCATATGCGGATTGCATACGTCCACACAAGTGGGGCAGGAGAGTACGCTGATTAATAAGCAAGCCTTTCCAAGGAAAATAGAATGCAGTAAAATAAAGCAACCTTCCTAAACTTATTGCATCCAAGAGCCATTTTTATTTATTTACGCATTTCGATACGAAAGGATTACAAAAATTTCGACCAATGACGATATTAGCGAGTGTATGGACACAACTCACAACTAACTTTAGAAAATGCTTAAGCACTTACGATAAATATTTCGCAATTATAAGGTAAGACAAATAAAACCATTGCAGTCGGGCAAGGACAACTATTAAATACCTTACACCACTTTGCCTAGTAGAGCTAGTTATTCGATCCTTTTAATAATAATACACTAAAAAGTAGATATGATTTCTATACAGAGGCATACCTTTTATGAAAACCCACATATTGGACGATGCCCAAAACAGCATATGACAAACCAAAATTAGCAAACTTCCCAAAACTTTTCTTATTTCGACCTTTCCATCATAGAGAACTAGAAATTACACCTTCTCTCCACATAAAAGATTGCTTTTTATGATAACCCTCACACATGGTAAGGTCCAAAAACTAGACGTATGTGATCCAAATATCCTACTGTTAATTTTAAACATTAAATAATTGAATTCAATTTTCGGAACGGTTCATTATTCCTGCGAAATCTTATATGGAGTGGGGTCCGCGAAATAGAGCCATGTGGCTCAAATTTCATCCGCTTAATTTTTATGTCAACTCACTACCATAAGCAAATTTTCATCATACAACATTAACAAATGGTCATTTCGCCATTCAAGAATTTACATTTCCTGGAAACCTTAATACGCGGTGGTGCCCGAAAAATAGATCTACGTTGTCCAAATTCGATAAGGTTGATGTTGTTGTCTGTTGACTATTATGAACCAATTTTCTCCTTGAAGTATTCAAAAAGTAGATCTTCTTACCATATAATGATTCAGATCTCGTAAGAGCGGTCACATGAGAGAGGGTTCAAAAATTGCCTTTGCGCATCAAATTTTTCGTAACAATTTAAAATGTCGAAATACAATTACGGGACTTTTGCCGATTAATTTTGAAAAATTGTAATCAGAAAACTTAATTGATCCGAATCGTTTTTAATAGCGATGGTCTTTGATTCAAAATAATTTGTTGTGCCAAATTTCATCAAAATGTCTCGAAAATTTGCGACATCTAGAGTGAATACAAATTTAGCATCGGTTGCCAAGCGATTGCTTAAAAGCTTAGCCCAGTTCGTTTTATATTGAATCTTATTATCTACATAATTACGCGGTTAAGATTGTACGGGTGTAGGTAGCACCCAGCAAGACATGAGATAAACCCACCTTCTATTACACCGATCGATTCAGAAAATAATTCTAAGCTTGTCTGTCCGCTTGTTTTCTGCCCATGCAATCTTGCAGGTTCAATCTGCAGGTTAGGAATTTTTAGATATTTTAATAGGGTTTGATGCGCCAGCGTGTTTAGCCCAAGCGCGAATGCTATTGAAAATGTTTCGGATCGGAACACTTTTAAGGACATTCCTTTGTGACTTCCTATGTTACTTCAAAAAAAAAGAATATTCTCTTTCCATATATATTCACAGAAATGGTTT